GCAGATCGTAATGAAAAGAGGCAGGATGTTCGTAACTATGTTCGTGTGTGCACTTTTTTTGAGAGATTTTAAATGACTCAGTAGCTTGTATTTTAAGATAATGAACAAAACAATGTTCTCATGAATACAATAAATCTTTTTCAACTCAGAAAAAAGCACAAGAAATAGCATAGATAATCAAGCAAAGTACAAAAAATAGAAAACTAAATCATAGAAAAGAATAGAGACATTTGTTTTAATGTTGATAAAGAATAGGGATTTCTATCAAAAGAAAAAAAGTAAGATGTGCAAAGAAACGGAATGTTATTTTTTCATCCGTTTATTTGTTGTACCACGACTCTTAGCTTTCATTGCTTTACCATTTGTGGGAGTGGTTACATAATACTTTTTCCCACGCCCTCACTCTAGTATTGACATTCTCCTTAAGATTAGTGCCCTCTATAAGTATTATAATATATTTACGATCTCCAGGTAAAATGAGTTTACGGACACCCGGTCATTTTCATCACGATTTATTGACAGTATTAATTTACATATAGTCGACCACTTCGTTTCGATTTCCCTGTTTTTTTTTAAATTATAGTCGCCTAATAAACTTTTTTTACGGACTCCCGGTAAAAATGGCAAAAAAAAAAGTCGAATCCGAACACCTAGACAAATTACCAGGTGTTCGGGATGCCTAGTACGTTTTGTCTTTGTCCCCAAAAAATATACGATTCATTATAAAGATTTAAATACTTCTCAATGAACAAAATCTAGTTGATTAGTAATACGATTATAATCTGAAGACGATGGAACTTCAGTTATTAAGCCATATAATTCTAATCAAGCAACAAACTACTTTGCATTAGTAGATCAATAAATTTATTATGTTTTTTGTACATTTTCAATATTGAAGTTTATCTCTAAGACTACGAATCGTCTGTGATTTTATCAGCGAGTAATAATACAATGTAATTTTATGATTAATCATTTGAAAAGTAGTTTCATACTTAAGACCCAGAACAAGCAGTTGTTCCAGTCAACATATATATAACATATATGAGAGAAAAAATAGATCTACGGATCTCATCTGAATTTACTTTTTTGATACATAAATATGCGTAATATCAAGATGATGGAATTCTCATTTTTCACATATGGAAAAATATGAAACTTCATTTATAATTAGAACTGAGACTAGAATTAAAGATATTTTTACAGGAACCGAAAATACTATTGAGAAAAAGATCCTATAATCATTAATCTTTTTAATAAGTAGGTCAAACTAAAGATCCTATTTTCCAGGAATTATATATACAAAATATCATAAGTATAATAAAATTCAAGTAAAAGTTCTTATACATTATATTAATCTTAATCGAGAGACTATGATTCAAAATTTATCGTTATATAGTATAATCCAGTTCATATCCTTGAATTATCATTCATTCAAATTTTCATCATAAAAACACATGTTATGTTCATGTAGAATAATGATCGAGTTTTCTTAATATACACTATTTCAGAATAAACCGTACGCATCTTTTACTTTATCTATGCGCAGTTGGTTCATTTTGCATTGTAGTTAATAAACTCGCAAAAGTATTAATGTGTATTCTATCATAAAAGATGATCCTTTCATTACTAGTATTCGTATCTGCTCACATAATTCTCTCTTACTTTTATAGTCTTTAGCGTCGTTAATGGATTATTTTTACATTCCTTAATAATATTAAAACAATTCAAAAGCAAAATATGAATACTATATAATTCCTCGATGCTTTAGATGTCAATATTTCTAATAGATATTTTCCTATAACATTCGATCTATCGAGGGATCAATTTTATTTGTCACCCATTCGAATATTTCTTTTTCTAAAAAAATTATGAACATCATTCCATATCATTCAAAGTAATTATATCTCTTTTACCAGAGAAATGTTCATGAAATATATTTAACTATCAAAACAGGAATAATTATAATTTTTTATGAATGCTTATAAATAGTATAAACAAAAAGATATTTTTTTATATCAAAAATAATAAACTTCATCATTAGTGTGCTTATCTTCAAAGTAGTAAAAAGCAAAGTTTGTTTTCAATACTTTTAATGGCACTCTAAATAACAATCAAATATGTCTACCACTCTTCACACATGAAAGGAAATTTGATAATTTACAGCATAAGACAGATGTTCTTGTCAAACCTATAGATATTTATACAATGACCATGATATATTACAGAAAAGAATATTTCATTGACAAGATACATGTATCTTTTGATACTTCACGTAAATAACAACAAGTAACACTGGTTATTGTCAAAAGACATTTCTAAAGATCATTATATAGAAACCACTTTGAGGCGGAGATACAATTTTATTTCACTCATTGAGCGACTATTGATAACTTGTCCACTCACGGGAAGGAAGGGGGAGAAATAATGAATGATATATTGAACAATGAAAGTAAAATATGAGCATATATGTGTAGACTTTTGATTGTTGTCAAAATCTACAAAACAACTAACAATATGAAAGTGTGTGTATATATGATATTATAATCTAGTAAAGATTATAACACATTTATCAATTATATTAAACTATGTGTTTACCTTTCTTTGTCAAGATTGAATATGAATAAAAACAAAGAAGATAATTGACATACTTATCTACAAAAGTTTTTCTAATGATATTAAAATTAGATTGATCTTTTGTCAAATGATAGGTGATAAGAATATAGCATATGATTTATTTAGTGATAAGTAGATAATTACTATATAAAGTACGATAGTATTATCTATATCTTTATCTATCTTGCATCAAAAACAATGAAGTACCTAGTGGAAGATATAAATAGTAGAAAGTGTTATATGATTAAATATAACTTTAGCGTGAAATCATGATTAAAAAAATGAAAAATTATTGTATTGTAAATTATCTATCATAGAATATACGCAATTTATTTTAAATATAATTCAAACTTCTTGGTTCAAACTAACGTTTATTTTATTGTATAATACTGGCATACATTTTTTTTGAGTTCATCTAGTGCACATTTGCGATGCACGTGATTTATGAAGGTTATTGAGTGTAGATAATCTCTCATAGCCATTCTCTTACACCCATTCTTGAAGTATAATAGAATGAAGTGAAATGTTATATTTTTCAGCTAATCGACCTTGTGATAAGTCATTACTATCTTTATTATCGTAAATAATTGTCTGTTTTCTTCCAAAGTAACCTTCTGTCGTGTTGTCATTTGTCACTTTAGATTTACAACAGTTAAATCATTCAAAAAATACACTTAGTTGAAATAGAAGAGTATAGATCATAGAAAAAAGAACGAGGCCGAACCAACTGTTAGCTCTTATTAAGATGTGGTTAAGAGACAAACTTCTGATTATGTTGAAAAAAACTGATGTATTTATACATCAATAAACACATACCTCGAACATAGTACACTCATCGATTAGCGATTTCAAATAGATAGATCTAAGTATTATTACCTAGATCACACCTCGAGAAGATATGATAACCTAATACATCTAGGACAGCATATAATGTGATCTAGGGATCAAATCATAACACCAACCCATTGACATTAGAGAGGGCCATTTTCAGTAAAAATCATCCTGTCAGACTGACAACTGTTCATAATTAGGAGGTATTCCCTGGTAGAAATTCTATTGTCTGTGTATATTTATCTGTTTACAATACTCATCTGAGAAGTATATTTTTATGAAGGTCAACATAAAAGACATGTGTGTTATTTCTTTCTTTCTCGATCTTTAGTCGTTCTATAAATATCAGTTGTTACCTTGAAAACACAAAAGAAAACTATTGATCAAACAACACAATACTTCAATTGCTGTTTGTTTCATTTTTAGCGTTATCTCGAGTCAAATTGCATATAAACAAAATATAATTATATATTTTTATTAGAAAAAAAAATGTAGTAATACCAATAGGTTCTCTTATATTTATAACGAAATAGTTCTATTTTAGTATAGAAATTCCATCAGATTACTTTTTCGAAATGTTGAATAAAAGATCATTTCATTCTATTTATTTTATTTAAAAATACTTCATACTAAACTTTTATTGTTATAACAATTGAAAACAAAGAAATCTATTGTGCACAGTAAGTATAACTTTGCTCATTCGTATCTTAACAACAAACAAGATATTTCTCGTCTTTTCTGCATTCTTCTCGGTTAATATAAAATTAATCGGTTAAAAAAACATTTTTTTGTTCTCTACAAAACTATTCGTTATCTTAAACGTACAATAATAAAAAGAAAACTACAACAAGTCATCCAATGCATAATCGACATCCTTCTCGTCGATTCGTTCTCCCATCTGACGCCGACTGATATAACTATTTGTGTATATCTTCTCACACGATATTCATGCATTTTATTTTCATAAGATATAACATTATTAAGCGAGTTCATGCTTAAAACTACTTCCATAGGTAGGATAGATTAAAAATCTATATTCTTTTGTTTTTTTATTTGAAATGGTTATATATTTGTATATTACAAAACATCTGTTAAAAGAGACAGAAATATAATTCGATAGTCTTCAATAGTATACTAGACAGATGTAGGCTAAGTCAGATGCATCTTCTATAAACTGAAACTTAGTAAAAAGTAAAAATGTCGAAAGCAAAAATGATCGTACAAACAGGATTGTAATAGTGAGAGTAAAGATGAAAAATTTTTTACTATCATGCACCATTAATTTAAGTATTCAAATACTTCGATCAATTTCGAGAGCGTGATTTCTTCAGCTCGTCGTACAAATTCGTTTTATCTGTCTCATATGATGTCTACGTATAGAAGAGGCAAAAATAGTTCAAAGGATTTTTTTTCTCCTTCACATCATCCTGTGTACATTTTTATACGCTGAGTTGAAAAAAACTTTGATCGTTCTGTATTTTTACGTCATCAATTAGCCTTGTACATAAAAAAACGTTTTTTTTCCATCTTATTAGATATAAGAAATACGAATACAAATGTCTGACAAGAAAAAAACCACGAGTAAGAACGATGTTCATCTTGCAAACAATCAACGAATATCAACCAAACGTTCGTTATCAACTCAATCATCCACTGAACTCAATAAAACAAGATCTGAATCAACTTCCAAACGTCAGAAGTCACTTTTAATCTGTGTCGTTTGTGATGCTGATGCTCACGGTAATTAAACAAATCATTCAATCTAGTAAAAAAAGTATCTTTCTTTTATAATAATCTTTTTTTAGGTTATAATTTTGATGCAATATCATGTGAATCATGTAAAGCATTTTTTCGACGAAATGCCTTACGACCAGTAGTAAATATTTGATTCGATTTCTTAAAACGAATGTTTTTTTCTATTTATTACTTAGCAAAAACTAAAATGTCGTCGCAACGATGCTCATTGTGATGTAAGATTTAATATTAAGAAGCGATGTAGAAAATGTCGCCTCGAGAAATGTACTGAAAAAGGTTTGGATCATTAATATTTGATTTGTGACAGATTTAAATATTATTTGATTTTAGGGATGCGAAAAAAATGGATTTTAACGCATCACGAGTAAGTTTCCTGTAAGAAAGAATGCTGATGAATTTATATAGTTGCAAAGATAGATATTGGATAGTTAGGTATTAAGAACATTTGACAATTGTTCATTATCGATATTTCTTATTCTAATG